TAATTCCGTGCTTTAATACTTAAATTATTGTATCGAAATCTTGCACTTAAATCCTTATAGGACGCTACTGTTCGTAATTGATCCATCTATTCATAGTCCCTTAAAAGGTTGTTAAGATAATAACTTTTGGGCTTTTCTTTTTGATTTAGTTTCGATTACATTGGGTCAATATTGACTCAGCCAATATTGTCAATATTAATAATGTCAACATTGGGCATATATCAATGCTATCCAACAACAATAAGAAAAGGAAATTAGAAGATTAGGTTCAACGAATACTTAGGTTTACTTGCTTCAAGAAAGGTATTACAAAGTGTTCTTAGTAAAAATTAAAAGCTTAATATGAAATAAATAAGTTTGCCAAATTTGGATCAAAATGTATCCATAAACAAGCAAACTATAACAGTTTAATCTTATCCTCTATACATTTTGAGTAACATGGGAATTTTAAGTAACCAATTATTAAAATCTTTCCCTCGTCACCATTAAGTGATTATTGTTTTATAGTACAGTATAGAAGAACAATTCAATCTAAAGAGTATTTGCCAATTTGATAGCTCTAATTTTCTTAAAATAAATAAAAAGATGCACATGTTGCATTAAATCTACCGTAGATTAGGTGAAAAATAATGAAGAAAATCGGCTAAAGCAAAATAACAAAGAACTAGTCAATTTGCTATCAATTTGTTGAACAATCAGTAACAAAGAAAGAAGTAAATCTTGGGAAACAACAAAGAGGTTCTCTCAATAATACAAAGAGGTGATAGTAACAATACTGAGCAGATATTTTGTTGTGGAGGCGATTGAAACTTAATTGTTTTAGTAAATTGCAATCAACACAAACAATGATTTTTCGTTATACTGTAAAGAAACGAATGTTTTCAATACGTGCATTACCCCTTGATAAAAAGTAATCATTATATTCTGAGTTTACACTTTTTTCGATGATTTATATTTTATTCAAGCCCGTTATTCACTGGAAGTATTCGTTATTTGAATGTTGTAAGTTTGTAGGTAAACAGTGTTAGATTCCCGTGTTGTTCTTATGGATAATAAATACTTTTGTAGTTTGCTTGCTTATGGATATATTTAGAACAAATTTGGCAAATGTATTTATTTTATACTATAAGTATTTATATAACGTAATTATTGTGCAACATTTACATAAAAAATGATATATGACTTTTGCTATGTTCAATTCAAGTCAAAAACTACCTACAGATTTTCCAAATACGACTAAATTCGACATCCAAAGTCAATGGTGCATCCAAACAATCCACATAGCTTTAAGTAGGAAGTTGTGGTAGAAACACTTGACAAGTCTAGCTTGTTGCCGTTATCAGTTTGGTGATTAAGATAGGTCCATTGAGATAACATAGCTATTACAGACCAGCAACGTTTGGACTAATTGTGTGACAAATGATCAGCCATTCGTATCGTAGGGTTTAAAATAGTTGGATCCTCATAACATCGTCGAAAGCATAAATTCAATATTAACTCATTGAAATTTATAGTTTGGATGTCTGGGTCGTAGTGGATTTAAAATTCTGAATTGGACTTTAAATAGACCAAAATTATTATAAGCATAGATTTAACACACTCTTTTATAGGTATGAGGTATTTTGCTGAAGAATCATTCTTAAGAATTGCGAAGGACAATTTCTTAAAACTGTATCAGGACTCAATACTCTACATATATTGAACTGCGAATGGTACATCATCGTAAGAATAGGCTAAACTTACTCATAGCAAATTTGTCACATTTTGAAGAAAATATCTTCACAATTCCAAAAAGTCGCCAAGATTGTTCATAGATGGATTTAAAATTCTTTTGTGGACTTAAAATGCACCATTGTCGTATGCATAAATAAAACATACTCCCATAGGTTTGGGCCTGCAAATAAATAACAACTAAAATAATTTTCTACATAATTCCATGTTTCAGTTTGGTTTAAAAATAATTATTTGTTTATAAATACAAATAATAGTAAGTTACGTTCTTACAACTAATTTAAAACCACAAATACAATTCTACTTAGATATTTTTGTACTTATTTACGCTTAATAATGAGTATTGCCCATTTTTAGGATTAAGGGGCCTGTCAATAAGTTGTAGGACAGCAAGACATTTATTATGTAAGCCGTATATACATTTGAGCTACAGATAATGTTAGTTTAACAAAAGTTATTACATATCCCTTAATTTAAATTACACTTGATCGAAGTTTACTTGTAAACAGGTTATTAAAGTTTGTACGATGGAGAATGAAATATTTGATCAATAACACTTTTTACCCAAAAACAAATATATTGAATAATTAATTAGCATTGAAATACTGCACCGAACTACTGGTATTGAAAACCATATTTGCCACGTAAAAGAACACAGAACATTCCGCTAAGACGGAAAACGACGAGAGAATCATCCGTTCAAAAGGGCATTCCCTTAAAATGTTTACCCCCGAGGTTTAAACAGACGGGAGAAAACAATTAAACAGTTCTATTGTTTGTAAACAGCTAAGCACGTGGCACTGGAAATAGAGTAAGCGAGTTGCAAAAATAATATACAAGTGAATGTCTAAGTTATACAACTGTTGTACAAATTGTTATCATGTGCGATAAATTGTATTCGAAACATGACTGATGTATAAAGTTTGTCATACAAAGTGAATGATTTTGATTAAAATTAGTTCTCAAAACAGAAAATTTTTCATTTGACTTTTCTCTTTTTTTTGCAATGTTGTTTATTCAGTTGTATCCAGATCAAGGAAAATCAGTGGGCAAAGTAAAACTTCGACTTTTCCAATATTTTTCTTCACTCTAGATGAAACAACTGAAAGGAACAAAATGTAGGCCAAGTTTATTTTAATTAAATAACACTCAATATTAAATGACCCGCAACTATATCAAATTGATTATTGCATTTAAATGTTATTAATTATGATTTAAATCAAATACCCGACTTTTTAATCCAAGAAATTATTACATTTTTAAGATTATTAACAGTAGTAAATGAAAAGTATGTTGAGATAAGCAATGCCATTGTCATGTCAATAATTATGCAATTCAGCCACAAATATCCTAACCAAAATGTTGTAAGTACATAAGCACATAATATTGTTTTACATGTCATAAAACGAACTGTAGCTGGAAAGTAGACAAAATAATGTACAACTCGTGTTCAAAGTGTCTTTTTAAAACTCAATAAAATTGTCTTACTCCGTGAGCCGCGTGCGTCAACATTGTTTTCGTTTCAAAAATTGTCACTGTTGTTTTATAAAATCTTTCAAAATTTAAATCGATTTAGTACTTATTTAGATACCATTACGTATATCTGATTCCAAAACCCCATCAACGAAATAATCAACTTATTGGGTATATATAAAAAAAATCGAATTAAACAATTTGTTAATCGAATTAAAAGATATCGGCATCGAGCACGAACGGATCACTTATTGATTCGAGCAAAGCTCGGCCCCCAAGTCCGCTATAGCCCGTGTCAACCCGGAATGTTCCGGTCCATCTATTCGACGTTGCACAATCGGAAAAGCGTCGACGTACGACGGATCCACTAGGACGACTGGGAAAATTACCCTTCGACGGGATGAGGGGGGGGGTTACGTAATTCAAAATTGGCACCCGGATAAACTAGGGACATTTACTTTCGCTGGTCGTCGGCAAATTGCTTCAATTTCGGTTTCAACGAGATTCTTGTGATTTTTTAAGGGTTTTTACTTTTTCAGTAGTTAAAAGTGATCGTTCTCAATGCCTCTTTGATTTATAATTCGATCACAGATTATCAATAATTTACAAGTACTGTATTTTTGCTGCGTATGTTTTCGAGGTTATTCTAAATTTGTTGAGCATTTTGCTTGGAGCCTAAATAACAGCATTTTTCCTCAACAACAGAATTTTGCCTAAATAACAGAATTTTAAATAAGATGAATTTAGCTTAGTGCCTTGTTTTCTAAATACAGTACTCATAAAATATTGTTTTAGTGTAGAATGTCATTACTGTTGGGTGATTACGGAGGATTTCAATAGTAGTATTGAAGCATGTATAGGAAAGTCTATCAAGTATATTTCTAAAATTTTAAATATTGCTAAAACTTAACAAAAGTTCTAAAATTTGAAAAAAAGCATTCACTGTTAGTACATTTTGTGCTATTGTTGACATATATTTATAACGACCGAATTAGACACGCAGTAACATAATATATTATGACAACCAGTAATAATGACTTGTTAAAGTAAGCTATTGATAACAACATTAGGAGACAATACGTTCGTGAAACATACATATTTGTTGATGCACAAACCGTGAAACTCCCCACATTTTACGTCAATTTTATCTAACAAGTTTTAGATAGTTTAAAAGAAAATAGTATAATACATAGTTTTCTACAAGTTCAGTAGAGTAGTTTTATGAACTGAAATTTACACTTAGATCCTCGCCCATTATATAGTATTAGCTCAAAGATACATTTGTTGTTAACAGGAACGTGGGTAAATGTTTATTAAATGCTTAAGAAAAAATAATCTAAAAAGGATGTTTACAAACAAACAGTTTACATTAATATGATCTCTAGATGGATGGATGGAATTGGGACAGTTTAATCATAAGTATATCTGAACCCAAAAAGAAAAAGAAATGCATAACAAAACTTAAAAAAAATGGGCGAAAAGGCTTCCAACCTTATTTATGGGTATCAAATTTACCCTAAAATCATTTCCTCGATTTCAGATCGGGCATAGGGGGTTAGGTAGCAAACTATGCTACCTGTGTACATATTGTTGATAAATCAAATAAAAAATAGAAAAATGGAAAGTTGAGTTGAAATAAAATTATTTTTCTTTAGTTGATGCCTTACATGTCAAGTTACCTGGGGCAGGTAACCTGCCTACTGGCTTCGTGTAAACGCGGTTTACGATTAGTTCATGTATCAAGAACACTTAGTTTAAATTCGAAAAATCCAAATCTAATATTTGTTTAGACTCACCTCTCCTCTAGCCGGTAGACCTCCTTGAACGTGTGTTTGTTCATCCTCTCAACCCATCCCTTCTCCGTCCTCCCGATCACCTCCTGGGCCCCGCTGTCCTTACCCGCCAGCGCCGCCTGGAGATCGCCGAAGGAGTCGTGGGGTTCCAGGACCTTCACATCCTCCGTGGTGTCTAGCGACCCCTTCACCGGGTCCGGGGGCTCCACCTTGATCGCCGCGTACTGAGGAGCGGGCGCACCACCGTACCTGCGAAAAAGGGAATGTTAGTGGGGTGAATTGTTTAAGGATAGAGGTAGAAAATGGCGAAGAGGAACAAAGTCTTAGAACAGCGCGAGTGGCTTATCACAAACTGAAAAGTCACGATCACGTGACGACATACGTGAGTCAAATAAACACCCTGCCGCAGCAAACCAGCGTAGTGCCATCTCGTCCATCACCCCAATTTCCCAGAAAGGAGTGCTATCTCGTCCAGCGTAACAGTTGATTAAACGTGATTACGAACAATAATTGGTGATATTTCGTCATATTTTTACTTGACATGGGGTAAGGATTAAGGAACATAAAGCAGGTAGTCTCCGTCCTGTTGTTCCACAGAAATTCCATAGCTAGACTAGGGTGCATGCGGTTATGCGCCTATGCGTTGGAGGAGACATTGAAAAGGTTTTTATAGATGTCTCTTACACGCAATCAATATGGACTAGATTGTGGAAAAAGAAAACTGATAACAAAATCACAAAGTAATTGTGGCTATATTGTACATTATAATTAATGTAATTTTGTAAAGTATGTAAATATTGTACATAATTTTATAGGATATGTAAATAGGCAGATAACCATGCCGAAACGCTGCTTTTTTAATTGCCAGAATTGGTTTGTGTTTTAAGATAAAACCTATTTAGTAATGTGACAATTTCTATAGTAATTTGTAGACCTGTCAATTTTCATTTTCCTGATTCGATTGCCATTAAAACAATTCCTTGAATACACTTTAAAGGCTAAGTACCAAATTTCAACGGACCAGTACCAGTTATCGTGCTAACGGACACACACACATAGAATACATATTACTTTAACCATATTTTTGTTGTACATCGACGATAGAACAAAAAATCCATTTTGAACATGCGTTTTATTCGTTATGTATACTCGCGCTATGAATGAAAATGATTAACAAATCATTTACTGAAAACAATAAAACCAAGATGTTGGATTTACAGTAGTGTCTTATTTCACTTTTTCATCGCTCCTCCGGAGAATCAATCATCCCAATGCTGAGTCTGCTGCTGTGCTGCACTCAAGACGATAATTATTGTGCTGAGGAACTAAAACTGCGACTCTATCAATTCATTCGATTCTAGAAAACAGGAATTCTCTTCCGCAGAAACAATTTTTATTCTGGATGAATAAATCGTCTCCTGGATAAACCATTCCTTATCATGATTAATAAATCCTCTCCTGAACAAGACATATGAACTGGGTGAATAAATTGTCTTATGGATAAACCATTAGTCCAGGAAAAACCATTTATGAACTGGTTGAATAAATCGTCTCTTGGATAAACCATTAGTCCAGGATAAATCATTTATAAACTGGATGAATAAATCGTCTCTTGGACAAACCAGTAGTCCAGGAAAAATCATTTATGAACTGGTTGAATAAATCGTCTCTTGGATAAACCATTAGTCCAGGAAAAACAATTTATGAACTGGTTGAATAAATCGTCTCTTGGATAAACCATTAGTCCAGGAAAAATCATTTATGAACTGGTTGAATAAATCGTCTCTTGGATAAACCATTAGTCCAGGATAAATCATTTATGAACTGGTTGAATAAATCGTCTCTTGGATAAACCATTAGTCCAGGATAAATCGTTTATAAACTGGATGAATAAATCGTCTCTTGGACAAACCATTTACAAACAGGATGAATAAATTGTATCGTGGACAAACTACTTCTATCCTGAATAAATAAATCGTCCGTAAACCGATACGGAGAGACTAATGCTCAAGAGGTGGCTTGAAGGCACCCTAAATTGCATCCACTGCACCGGAAAAAAATTGAAACCACATCCCTAAATCGGAAAATATTAACTCCAGGTATATGTTTTATATTTTGGAAGTGATGATACATATAACTATTACAATAGGATCAAAATAAGAATGAAACAAGGGACGTAACTGAACAGTTTTTTCTGACACAACAAGAACGAATTTTTAATACATTATTAATTATTAATCCTTTTTACTTTAAGGCATATTTTTTGCATCAACAGATCTGTGAACGCAGAACTTTCAAAAAGTCGAAACTGAACAATGAGAATAATTACAACTTGTGAAACGCACAGTTTAAAAATATAAGACTATAACTTGTTGAATTGGCACTTAAAATTCGCACTCATCAAAGATAAAATATTGACTAGCTTGAAACGCGTGGCAGTTCAACAGTTCAACACATGTCTGGCTTACGGCAAGATATTCTAATCTCATTAGCAACGTGATAACAAGGGCATAACAAAGTAGATGTTTACATTATAATTGTACGGTGAAAATTCAATAAAACAAAAACGTCTAATTTGAAACAGTATAAGAGTCGCTGGTTTGATCATGCAAAAGTCAATAGCTTTTACATCGAAACTTGCACAGGTTTAATTGATCTTAGTATTTTATTAGATGAGTATTGCTAAAGAAACAGATGATCGTACTTAGTTACTTATCTAAGTAGCAAAGGTAGACAAAATCTTATCACTCAATTTTATTCCTTCCAATCATTCTCTCTTCGAGATCTGTATCCTTCTTAGAGATCAGCTGTAGCAAGACTAAAAAAACTGTTTTTTTAGTGTGGCCTTGGCTGTAGACAGTTTTAACGCCAATGTCGTCTGTTTTATGTAAACCATTAATTGGTTTTTTTTATTTTATAGCCTTTTTTATAATGTTTTTAAACCATTTAAACCAAATAAAGCGATCTAATTGTATACAATAGGGAACAGTGTCCATCTGGTATAAGTAAACACTTTTTGTAAAAAGTACCCTAAAATGAGAAACATTTAGTCGACACATTAACAACGAAACACACGTCAAAATCGTACTAAAATGTTACAAAAGGATGAGAAGTTTACTTGCACTAACAAAAGTCAATGATTAAAAAATATACTCTTATAGTTTTATCATCATTTTGTATCGGCTGGAGAAATTCTTACGGTTAATGAGTAAGGAGTTTATCGATAAATATAGTTCCTTGATCAAGCTCTAAATAAAGAATAATCATGAGTAATAATGAAAAAAGAGAAAAAAATGTGGACGAGAATTCCTTTAAAATAGTCTTTAGAAAAATCCAACTTAGATTTAGGATAAATCTACCAGTGGATCTACCTAACACAGTGTGTGAAGGATTTAATACGCTTAAAAATCCTTACGAGAGAAAAAAATTAGTTTACATTGGGAGGGTTAAAACTACATAAAACGCTTCTTGTGTACTTAGAACAAAGCTGGGAGCAGTTGGAAATATTAATTCATCACTTTAAGCTGCTTACTTTTTGTTTCTTCTACTGACAAGACGAATTTTAATACAAGGTTGGATTTGTTTGAACACGAATTGCTTTATTAAGACCAAAATATGTAGAAGAAAAGCCGGTGCAGCAAATTGGAAAATGCATATTATAGATTACAAACTATACTGAATGAAACCAATTAAAATGACATTAAATTTCATTCTAGTATTATGCGTAGAGCAAGAATTTTACCAGATAAAATAATTTCACTGTATACTTTATCCAATAATAAAATGTATTATTATTAATTTGTCAAGCCTACGTACATCCTCTATTTGTATGTCTCTTTTCAAATGCAGGCAAGAAAAGTAAATCATAATTAGATTCAATGATGACTACTCTTACTAAATTAAGTGGCTGTATAGATAGCATGAATTAATCATTATTGAGGTAATATACTGTATTTCTAGTATCTTAATAGTAGTTCTTATAGATCGTAATGGTTCCTCAACAATGAAAATGAGTCACCTAACTATACATCCACAATCTGTAATATTGGCTATTATTATTTTTGGTATTGCACACGGTGTTTATAAAAAAACCTTACAAATTTGCCAACCTCCCATCCTTTTTCCATGTAACATAAAGGTTTTATAAAAACTGAATATTAAAGAGTAGCTTAAGAAGTTTTCATTAGTAGCAGATTATCAGTTGATTGGATTATTGTTGCTTGGCAAACCATAACAAATAATTTATGAGTCTCGTTTGAATCGTAATGGAAGCTTGTATTAAAAACACAGTTTGTGGAGAGGTTCATTGAAACCAAATCTCATGTTGTTGTTCAACGGAGATTTTGGTCAAGATACACTAGGAATTCTCCTTTAAGACCTACAATTAGGGCTTGATACTATAAGTTTATGAACACCGGCAGTTTACATCACAAGAAAGGGAACGGTTGACCCCGTGTCCGCGATGTGGATGTTCAACAAACATTTGTGAACAGTCTAAAAAAGTCCATGAGATATTGTGTGTGCCATACGTGAGTTGAACACAAAACCCTCTACCATACACAAAATACCCAACTTACACAAATTCCGTGCTTACAAACTTCAAATTTTGCTTAAATAAAATTGTCTTATTTTGGTTCGTGTTTTGTCCAAACTGGAATTTAGACTTTATTATTTGCGTGCAAATAATGGAAACACATCGAAGTTCGGCAAACTCCTTGTTATGACCAAAACCTGAGACGATTTCCTAGTCTTTGATTGTTATTTCATAGCTTTAAGTGTAAAAATAAAAGGTTTACTGTTGTTTGAAGTTTTTTTATAAACACTCTGTATAATACGTTTCATTTGTCAATTTTCTGTTTAAACTGTATCAATTGAATGAAGAATGATATTTTGGAAAAAAGATTATTGGTTATCTACGGTGTGTAGGAGACTCATATACAGAATACAATTCCCTTACTTCAGAACCCTATTCTTATGTGTCTTCTAGATGTGGACCAAAAACTTAGGGTATGCTCCGATCCAACAGGCAAAGAACATTATCACAAAGAAAAACATTGGTGACTGACGGGATTCGAACCTGGGATTTAAAAATAGCATGCCCGAGCTCTAACTACAATATGAGAGTAACCTGACGCTAATAGTGTTTATACACATGTACATTGTACTAAAACTAGACACAAACAGTTAAAACACAAAATTAAGCATTTATCAACAAAAACATTCTGATTGTGCTGATCTAATCATTCGCTTCACAGGTTTCACATTGTCGCGAAATATGATTCAAGTAAACAACTTGACTATTTCAGTTTTGCTACTAAGTGAAATTTGAGTTATGAATCGTGAGTATTCATTCTGATGGCTCAGAATATTTCGTTTCAAATACAATAGGTACAACGCTTTCTTGTAGGACTTAATTACAAAATAAACATTTTGGTGGCGTTCGTATAGCAATGTTGTGTATCTTTATATATCATACATCAAAGGATATATTTTTAAAATATCTCAACTATTTCTCCAACTGGTTAGTGACAACATTATCTTTTTTGTGGCTTTTCTCAATCACTTTGTTGTACCAATTCCCTTCTGTACAGATTATGATGGTTGTGAAAATATGGTTACATACAGATAGAACAACTATTTTCTTAAATTCTAAATAGATTTGATTTAGCAACAAAATAAATAAGTTATGATTTTCCTTGGCTAGTTATTTTATCTATTTCTGCTTGCTAAAGAATTGTTAAGAGACAGTATGTATAATTTTAATATAATACAGTACAGTTGAAAAATTTAGAAACTAGATAAGCATTTTGTGACGTTCTTTTTACACTATTATGTCTGCCACGACCGGTAAAAATATTTCCAAATTACAAATATACACTGCTTTAAATAGATGTACACTTTTAGATTCGAACCAAACAAAAGGTTTTCAAAATTACAAATATACGAACGAAGATGTTTATTTGATTACATGCACTGTAAAGTAAACCCCAACAGAATAGAATTCATGCCGTAAAATAATATATGTAATTTATAAGTTAAGTTAAATTTTTATTCAATTTTATGCCGGAAATATTCTAGTTGAAGAAATTCCCCATATTGAGTGTCCAGAGAAAAGACCTTGAATTGCAAGATTTGCTCGATCGGTTCCGATCAATGTAAAAGCTTTTTGCAGGTCGTGTTCTGAAATATCTTTATTCTTCTACGTTTCCTATCCTGACCAGTTTGAACCACAATTTATTCTTAGTGTTATATTGTTACGTTTACATTTCTTCATGAGATTTTTAAATGAGTCTGTGTGTTAAACATATTTACATGCAAGGCAAATTTTCTGTATTGTTACACATTTCAAATTTAACAAATTCCATTTTAATGAACTGGTTGCAGTAAATTTGCAGGTAACAACTTTAAATAAACGCAAAGAGTTTAGGTCAATAGTTTATACAAGATCTTTTTTTAGATACATAATCGTTCCATTGTCGTTATTTACCTTAATAATATCTATAATCTAATAATATCTATAATAATGGTATTTATAATCGTTGTTTACCCTTTATCCTTTTTTGTTTTCCCTTTTTAAGTTGTTGGAAAATATGAACAAAGTACTATAATTTATTTTAGAGTGTCGTCTTTTTACGTTGGAGTAAAATTAACAAGTTATTTACATTTTTGAACAAAACTGTTATTGTTACACATTTGGCATTTATTTTTCATTCATTTGCACTTTATTGACTTGAAATACTTGCACCATAACATTGTATTGCTTAGGTTAGTATCAAGATATACGCCATACAACAATTAATCATATGTTTTGTTTTATCCATAACAATACTAGCCTGGTAGATCTTGCATTTCAAGGGCAATATTTTCAGTCCTACTCAACTCAGGTGTAAGGCAACAACGCTTTTACGACCACTATAACTTATCCGAGGACTGTTAAAAACGCAGCTGGAAAAATATGGGGCAAATTTATAAATACTACACTACAATACTTTCATGAGGAAAAAAATATCAATTCCGAACTTGAATCAACAGTTTCACATTATTTAGGAATATCCCTTCCCAAAGTCCCTAATACACACGCGGTTTCAAATTAAGTTTTGTATAGGTATTGCTTGATTGAAACTTCGTATTTTCTTACATTCGAATCTACTTTATATATTTTCAGAAAATGTGTACATTCTGCATATCGACAAATTTATCTATTTAAAAAATTTATTTTACTTTCCGGTAAATTATTTTACGTATCGAAGCGGTTTGGTTGCGATGTGTTATTCTTATTTGCCTCAATCGACATTAACCATGAGGTGGGTTTTAGTTTACAGACTAATTTCTGTTTGTTAATGACACAACTGCACAAGCTAACATGACACCTACACCAACAGAACTTCAGGAATCGGGATGCAGAATCTCAAGTGCGAATCAAAGTAAAATACACCACCGCAGCAAACCTGCACACTAAGCGAAGGGGGTTTTGTTGAAGGGGTTACATATTTAAAAAATTCTAAATTCCTTTAATACATGGGGTTTTAGTACCTCAGTCCAGTTATCCTACCAGATGTCAAGTATCTAGCACGTCTGAGTGACAAGATTATTTATTTATTTTTTTTTTTTTTACGGACTTAAAGAAAATTAAAAACTGTCCAAACATATTGCGTTTCTACTACTACGTGCACCTCTATTGGTGTAAATAGTTTTAACTTATCAATTGTATAACAAAACTAACAACAGTAGGCCTAATGTAGCCTATGTGTATTTTCCCTGGTTGTTATCTGTAAATAATCCCTTTTCTCGTGTCTTAACTGTAAATACGCTGAACCAGCCACGGAAACGTAGCAACGCAAAACGAGGTTTAGAACAGTAGAACCCTTGTATTTGTCATTGGTTGTTACTCATTAAGTGATCTAAAATCCAAATCCAAACTTGTAATCAATGTTAATCTAGCTGTTGGGAACTCAAGGAACGTACACTTAACTTGTTAACCCTAGTGTAAAGCCCTAATAAGCACAATGTCATGTTCCCTAAATAACGTGTCCCTAGAAAGTTGCTAATATTTTACATCACCAACATATCATACAAAAAATCGCCACACGAACATATTCAAAGTACAGTATACCATCGCTCGATTGTAAAAAAATTTTCAAACATCAGATACGTGTTTTTGTAAGTCCTTACCTATTAAACTCCCTCCCCTAATGTTCAGTCAACTTTCAATCCACGTTCAGGGTTTAAACTTTAGCCTTAGCTTTTTGATAGTGCTCGCCTAGTAATACTCAGAAGGTAACCGTTCGATTCTGAGAAAAGACGAATACTTGTTACGGCCCAAAACTGGGCTCAGCTGTCGTACTTTTAAATTATAATTGTGTCTAAAAAAACGCAGATCTTAGTCTGCAACAAACTCATCCGTTCAACCCTTATCTTAGCTTTAAAATACGCACCCTGCTGTTTCGGCGCGGCAAAAATCTAAATAATATACCGTACACAATTTCCCAATGCAATTTTTTCGTCTAACTTAATACCGACACCAAACCAAGCGTTTTAAGTTCCGCGCAACTTTACTATTCAAGGTTCTGAATAATTGTTCAGCAAAATAATAAACAACTTACTTGATCCTGCCGTGCGATGGAGCCAGGTGCTGTCCACTCATCCCCAAGTCCAGTTGTAGGTCTACGACTAGCGCTAGTGTGAACAGCACGATGCTGATACTCGCGCCGATCACTAGCCGCTCGCGTAGTTTCATGTTAGCGGCTGCGACACTCCCCGAAGCGGCATGAACAGCGGCTCGCCGACGACTGAGCGTTGCCGCCGCGTGATAAGGGAGGGGAGGGGGCCGCTTGCCCCCTCCACCGCGATGTGACACCCCTCCTGCGAGCCTGCAACAATCAAACGCAACTATCAGTAAAGTCGTAGATAAAACTGCAACAATGAAACGCAACACTCAGTTCCTTGCGTAGATAAAACTGCAACAATGACATGCTACACTCAGTACAGTCGTAGATAAAACTGCAACAATGAAATGCTACACTCAGTACAGTCGTAGATAAAACTGCAACGATGAAACGCAACACGCAGTTCCTTGCGTAGATAAAACTGCAACAATGACATGCTACACTCAGTACAGTCGTAAATAAAACTGCAACAATGAAACGGAACACGCAGTTCCTTGCGTAGATAAAACTGCAACAATGACATGCTACACTCAGTACAGTCGTAGATAAAACTGCAACAATGACATGCTACACTCAGTACAGTCGTAGATAAAACTGCAACAATGAAATGCTACACTCAGTACAGACGTAAATAAAACTGCAACAATGAAACGCAACACGCAGTTCCTTGCGTAGATAAAACTGCAACAATGACATGCTACACTCAGTATAGTCGTAGATAAAACTGCAACAATGAAATGCTACACTCAGTACAGTCGTATATAAAACTGCAACAATGAAACGCAACACTCAGTTCCTTGCGTAGATAAAACTGCAACAATGAAATGCTACACTCAGTACAGTCGTAGATAAAACTGCACCAATGAAACGCACCACGCAGTTCCTTGCGTAGATAAAACTACAACAATGACATGCTACACTCGGTACAGTCGTAGATAAAACTGCAACAATGACATGCTACACTCAGTACAGTCGTAGATAAAACTGCAACAATGAAATGCTACACTCAGTACAGTCGTAGATAAAACTGCAACAATGAAATGCTACACTCAGTACAGTCGTAGATAAAACTGCAACAATGACATGCTAAACTCAGTACAATCGTAGATAAAACTGCAACAATGACATGCTACACTCCGTACAATCGTAGATAAAATTGCAACAATGACATGCTACACTCAGTACAGTCGTAGATAAAACTGCAACAATGAAATGCTACACTCAGTACAGTCGTAGATAAAACTGCAACAATGAAATGATATACTCAGTACAGTCGTAGATAAAACTGCAACAATGAAATTCTACACTCAGTACGGTCGTAGATAAAACTGCAACAATGAAACGCAACACTCAGTACCTTCGTAGATAAAACTGCAAAAATGAAATGATATACTCAGTACAGTCGTAGATAAAACTGCAACAATGAAATGCTACACTCAGTACAGTCGTAGATAAAACTGCAACAATGAAACGCAGCACTCAGTACCTTCGTAGATAAAACTGCAACAATGAAATGATATACTCAGTACAGTCGTAGATAAAACTGCAACAATGAAATGCTACACTAAGTACAGTCGTAGATAAAACTGCAACAATGAAACGCAACACTCACAAAGAGCACAGAATAGAAATTTCTATTCTGTGCTCTCTGAACACTCAGTAGATTTGATAAAAATGCAACAATGAAGCGCTGCACCAAATACAGTCGTAGATAAAACTGCAGCAATGAAATGCTACACTCGGTACAGTCGTAGACATAATTGGAAGAATAAAATGATAAACAAAGTACAGTCGTAGATAAAAATGCAATAATTAAACGCAACATTGAGTAAAATCATAGATAATACTGCAACAACGAAAGTCTAAGGAAAAACTGCAACAATGAAACTCGTCACTCAGTACAGTCGTAGATAAAAATGCAACGATGAAACTCAACACTCAGTACGGTCGTTGATAAAACTGCAACAATGAAACTCATCACTCAGTACAGTCGTAGATAAAAATGCAACAATGAAAGTCAACACTCAGTACAGTCGTAGGTAAAACTGCAACAATGAAATGATACACAAAATACAGTCGTGGATAAAACTGCAACAATTGAATGCTATACTCAGTACACAAATTAGTCTAGATAATACTGCAAGAGGGAAACACTACACTCCATATGTATAAAGCTATAAATATAAACTATAAATATACACTATAACAAGGAATACACTCAGTCCAAGATTATACTGTAACAATGAATACGCAGAGTACAAGATAACACTAATTTCTACTTTTTTTGTAGGGGAATAATTTACAACGTGTGTGTTATTTGGTTGTATTTAGAGCAGTGATCTTCTGCAAAAGATCCTAGAAAACAAGCCTACGATTAAAACAGAAAAAGGTTTATGTCAATTTTGTATCTGAATGGTAACAACCCTTCAGCAAACATTTACACAGACATCTCACACCACTCTCCATCCTTCACTCATATTTGTGTTATATTTGTGTATTCGGTTATACTGTAGTTTTGTATCCGGTTATGCACCTATTGGAAAAATATTTTTATGGTAATGCTGCATCCAACTTGTTTCCAGACCCAGATCCCATTTGTAATTGGGCTAGGAATTAATGATACTATCAAACAAAAAGGTCGACATTAGATAGAAACATAGATAAAAGGAATCTACTACTTTTATCTATCATAGTAACAAGACCAGGGTTTGGACCGTTCCCTTACAAAACGTAAAAAATGCTATTGGGATAAAAAAAACACACACAAAATCTCAGGGTTGATTTATTTTCAAACGTTTACAAAATGTTTCTAGAGCTAAGATACAAAGAAAGCTTGTGTCCTTACTTATCCAATTACGTCAAGAACACTAACAGGTGTATAAATAAAGAAAAGCGGGGAAGAGACAATAATGTTTTACACCCACTGTAGCGAAGAGCACTTAGTGTCCATTGGTCTAATGCGGTTAAACTCCTCCTCCAATGGGCTTTCGAGGATAAACAAAATTACGTCACTTGTAAGACAAGATGATTTTTCATAATTTTTTTGGCATATTCACTAAACTTTTTAGTGATTGTGAGTTTATGATTACGGTAATTTTTTCGTTACGATTAGTAAAAAAGTTCACGTTTAATCTGGAGTCTAATTGCGTACTCAGGTGAAATAGTACCTACCACAACAAGAATATTAAATATTATTTACACAGCCTTAGTCAAAGCAGGAAAATCATAACAGAACCCCACTCAGATAACTTGACAGTAGTAAAACAAGAAACAACAAATAAAAGTAAACAACAGAGACGTATTCAATTCCCGACACCTCCACAAAGTCATAGCGGGTTGGACCGCTTTCCAAAAAAAAGTGTTTACTCGAAAAGTGCCACCGACGTAGACAAGAGGAGAAAATGTCCAGTGAGTTTTCAGTTTTGGCTAGGTTTATATACTGATATTCTTTTGCTTCCACACGATAGGACGGGATCAGATTAGATCACAAAACGTCCAGTGAACCTTTTTTCATCAATTATGATGGGACAATTCCACAACAATCTCTCAAACAATATTAAACACGTAGTTTGGGAAAGCCTCTACTCCTTGATTTTATTATAATGTGACAGTAAAATATCATGGATAAAAACATTATGTCAAATCTAGGTTTTATCTGATTCAAATTTTTTTTGTGTGAATAATGCGAAGTAAAATAAGTCCTTCACTTGCTGTTATATCCTACTATTAATTTTTCTAAATTAGTTGTATTTTAGTTACCATGGATTCTTTAAAATAATTCAATTAGTTTCAACAGTTGACTGTTTCTAATTTAACAAAACTATTAATATTATAAACCTTAATATTATGATGGTACTACGTGATGAAAAAGGTAGGTACTGCTTTTTCATACGTTATTTAGAGCCATTAATAACGAAGGAAAAAATCTACTGAAACTTATGTCAGAGGACCTGTGAGTGGGTAGCTGAAGCATTGCGATTTAGGTATTTTGAAACTGCTCAAATTGTATTTACTTAATGCATGTCATTGTCAAAAATTACTTTTGTATGTATATGTTTAAGTTAGATTAAGTCATCTATACAACATGTAAATTGGTTCTTGACCGTTGGAAGGTAAAATAAAATAAGACTAGTTATCAAGGTTGACTTTAATGAGGTTTTCAAAAACATGTAATTAAGGGTAATATAAAATCAAATATATTTGAAAACGAAACTTGTTATTTAGGGCCACTTGTTGTAGAGGGTATTATTGTTAACAAAGTCCCACTGTAATTTTAGAACTGTATTTTGAAAACACTAATCGAATGGATTTACATTAATGTCTAATATCCTAAAATATTAAATGATTTAAACCCGTCATAATATCGAATGTTTTGTTTATTTGCATAAAATATAACGTTAACAGCGCACTAAGTATCAGATCACCCGCTAGAAGGCATTCTCTATGCGTTACCAGAACAATGTTTCATCAGAGCGCTCTTATCAGTGGATATTAATTACAGCAAACTGCGCAGGTAATTATGATTTTCAGTGAAGATGTGTTTGAGCAAATTCTAGGTCGGGAACAAATTCACTTTTTAGTTTTAGCGAATTTCCCATATAGGGAATAAGCTATTACCGTAGGTCTCATGGTAAGACCTAGACCCGGGACCGATTTACTTTTTCGTTTTGAGGACCCCAGAGGCCAAAAACACCATCCGTCCAAATTCATATATATATATTTATTTATTTATTTATTTATGTGTCCGTTAGCGCGATAACTCGAGCAAAATTGATCCGATTTTGATGAAATTTGGTACAAACGTGTAAACTTACATTTATTCGAACGAGTTCGCGAACCAGCATAATCGGACCATGGGATCAGGGGCTTATGGGGGGTTTTATGGGGTAAAAATGGGTTTTTCCCATTTTTGACCTTAAAAACTTTAAATTTCTAAATTTCTCTCTAGACTATTTTGAAGAGCTTAAAAAAACAAATAATTTGGTATATTGAAGTGTTTTTGGCCATCTAGTTGTCTTAGGAAGAATTACTTTACATTACACGTATTAATGGTGTATTTTACTACCAGATGGTACAGAGTTCAACTCTAGCGGCCAGTTTGGAAAATTGATGCACCTGCAGGTTAATATAATAAAAAGGATACAAACTCACATATTCAAAGAGTTACGTGACTATTTTTTATTTATTCAGTATGTTGAATGATA